ACAAATAACATGGCTTGCAAGTACTTAACAATTAATTAAATCTAACTGTACTAAGAGCCCATTCAAGGAATCTTTGCTTCAGCTTTGTTGAGTGAAATGTCAGAATTTTATTCAGATTTGACTTGGCAGTAATTAGCACTGAGGATGAGGGTGTGTTTTGCTGATCACGCTTGTTAGAGTCATCTCTACAAGGCTTGTCTGGTCCATATTTTGTTGGGCACAGTTTTACACTACTGTACACAACCATAATGGATTTAATTTTATTCTTATATAAGTGCAAATACAAGGGTTGCCAGCTTGTTTAATTCTTTGCAGCCTGAAGTCTGGAACCCATAGACATCAGGTAATGCTGTCTTTCTTTGCTTGAGATGCAGGGCCTTTTTTACAGCTGCCTTTGGCTGCTGCTTGTGTGTGAGTATCTCTGCTCTGAGTTTTGTATTTAATACCTGAAAAGCTGCACTATTGAGATCAGGCGAAGACTTGCCATTCAAGGATATCTCATTTCTTTGCTTTGACAAACTCTCGGTTGCTTTTACAGTTTGCTTTGGGTCATTTTCCGTTTGTGCTGTGAAACTCTGCCCGATGGGTTTTGTAGCATCTGTCTGAATCTGAGCAGAGAGTGTAGCCCCGTACACTTCACAGTCAATCCTGCAGCTTCACTCAGCAATCACATCACCAACAAAGTGTCCTGGTTCCCCTGCCAGGCATATGTTTCTACGTGGTATTCTTTGGATCATGACCTTTTCTCTAATGCTCAATACTTTTGTCTTCTATTAGTAAGTAAAGTTACATTTTATTTATATAGCACCTTTTCAGATTAAATCACAAAGTGCTTCACAGAGGCTCAAAATATACATCATCCAATGTCAACCAAAACCAATTTTAAAAAGATAAGTCTTTAACTGCTTCTTAAAAGAAATGACTGAGTCCACAGATCTCAAACTCAATGGCAGAGAGTTCCAGAGTCTGGGAGCCACAGATACAAACGCTCTGTCACCTTCAGTTTTTAACCTTGTATGCTGGACAGCCAGCAGGCCTTGGTCACAAGACCTCAAGACCTTTTTTCTTCTATTATGTTAGTACAGGTTAATCTTGGTTTCATCTTTTATCATCTAGATGTTTTCTGTCAAACTCTAATCCGGCCTTCCTGTTCCTCAGTGTAACTGTGTGAACCTTATTGTAAATTCTCTGTATTTCCATTCATGAAGGTGTTTCTTGATTGTAGTCCTCGATAACAATACTCCTACCTCCTTAAGAGTATCCTTAATTTTGTTAGGTGCTATAAAGTTGTTTCTTTAGCCATGGAAATAATTCTGCAATCATCCTCTGTGTTTTTTCTGAGCATTTATTCTTTTTTTAACGGCATAAAAGATTGCTGATTTAACCGATCCTGGCGTTTTGCTCTCTCTCTGAGAGGATAATTTTGCTGTTTCAGTGACAATGTCTTTCACTTGCACCGACATCTATTTGAGACTCATATTTAAAATTTCGGTGAAAAGCTACGAAATACAAATTCAACACTTCAGATATTCTATCTGCTTCATTTATTATGAAATAACAAGTGAACGTGCCTCACCCAGCCATGAAACCGCTCGTCAATCAAATGTAGAACTAACTGTGAGCCACTGAAAATGAGGGACTGTGTATAAACCGTAACTGCTGAACTGTTAATGCAACATTTTTGTTAAACCCTTTGAATTAAGGCTAAAAGTCTGCACTTCTATCACCTCTGGATGTTTCATTTAAAATCAACTGTGAAGGTGTGCACAGGGAAAACTACAAAAACTGTGCCTTTGCAGATAGTATAATGATATTTGTGTATATATCAGCAAAAACTGATTAAATGCAATTCAAAATGAATGATCCACTATGATTATTATACATTTGTGCTCAGTTTCACTTCCAGATCCTGTCAGCACTTAACGCTTCACCGATATGTGCACTTCACAGACGCACACATCTTTCTTGCTGCATCTGCAAGCGTGAAATACGATAGTTTCCTCGCTGTTATATATGAAAGTATTGACAGAGATAGCTGAGAAAAATGCCCAAAGAGAGCAGGAGACGGAGCATTTTGTGTGGGAGGAAGTCATGGAGATACATTATGGCAAGAACAAAAAGGGAAAAGAAGAGAAAGTGAAAAGAAAAGAACAAGAAAAAATCATGCTGAATCTTCCGTCACGCTTAAATCCATCTGTCATCACATCGTATTGACACACCAGGACAGATGCTCTCTCAATGCAATACTCTCAGAAACAGACACACACGCCACAAAGCAAACAAATCATTACACCAACCCAGCTTCACGGGAAAAATGATACAAATCTTGCCTCTTTCCAGCATTAAAAAAAGATTTTTTAATGTCTCTGTATGTTGTTGAAATGAGGTCACAAGTCGCCTGCTAGAACGCCACTGCTGTTCTTATAAAATAATCTGAACTGATGAGAAATTGCCGGGCTACATCAGCGCGGAGGCGTACTGACTCACTCTATTCTGCAGCTTATTCATCACAAATTTTAATAGGACAATATAAAACCTCATTTGGTCACCCCGGCTTCAACGGTGTCCATTAAACTTTCTAATTGACCAAAACAAATTCCCGCTCTCTCCCTCCCCTCTCTCCTTTCTTCCTCTCTTATTCCCCGACTGTATTCTAACAGTGAAGTGTGCTTTTATTTAATTTGCTGTCTTCAGCAAGTAAAATTCAATCAGGATTCTTTGTGCTGGCTCAACTCACCCCTCATTACATCCAACTGCCCCTGATCCACGTTACATTTCTGTGGTCGCAGGGTTAAACGCAGATGAGGGCAGTGACTCGAAAATGCCCCGTGTCTCTCGCTGTGAATAGAGGATGAAGCACCAGAGGAAGCAAGAACGAGCGAGACAAAGCACAGCGGGCCTTCCAGGTGTTGTTCCTTAGCAAATGAGTAACCGTAAATCTGTCAGATGGAAATGTTGTGGCAACACTCAGCTAATGGATTTCTCTGCTGGTATACCTTCGACAAAGAGCCTGCACCACCACTCTGACATTAGCATGAAATATTTAACCAAAGACAATCAAATGAGGAGGAAACCCCTCAAATGTGACTCAACCTTTGAGACACTTGAACTCATCAGATGCACCTCGTCCCCTGTTCCTGCAGCTGCTCCTGCTTATTGCTTAATGGGAGTTCAAAGCACTTTAGCTGGAAAAAAGGAAACTCAGTGCCTTCCCAGCAGGAATCTGTAGCGTAAGCAGTCTGCAGAACTCTTAACACCTTCCAATAAAATGTTAAATCTAGTAGGGAAGCTTTGTATAACTCCGACAAGATGATTGCTCTGCCCTGTCAGATGTTTTCTGACAGGGCAGAAAACATCCGCCGCAGCTTTGTGAGCGCACAGAAAACCAGCACTTTGGGAGGTCTCTCTTTCTCGTTGTGCTTTTGTTGTCTCCTGCTTGGCTTGATCTCATTTTCCCAGTGGCACTTTCGCCGGCGGTAGATAACCGCAGCTGTTCTTGGGAGGCCTATCTGTGACACCGACAGGGAGGGAAGGAGAGAAACAGTCAGCAGCAGCAAATCAATGGCTTTGCTGTGGTGACCTTGGAGATTTCGGTCTTTCCAATGAGGTCACAGTGGACAAGAGTCAAACACGTGCCTCGCGTCAGCAGAGACTTGCAGTGGGATGCGCCGTTTCAAGCACCGCACACATGCATACGAAGAGAGGGACGCATTATATTCAGCAACTTAATGGGCTGGGAAAAATGACAAAGAGGACTTTAACAAGGGGATCATTTGTCTCGAGGGATAGAGTCACATTTTTAAGGCGATATTAAAGCAGTTCTCACATGCTCATGTGTAGATTGGAAGGATTTCAGCTGCTGTAACAGATCCTACTCTCCACATTTGGCCACTAAGAGGGAAGGGAAAGCGGAGAGCTGATGTCTTTCCAATAAAGAGAGGATTTAATGCGATTTCACTCTAAGTGTCAAGGGCCAAAATACGCACTTCTTATTCCATGTAAAAAAAATAACTAAAACAATGCTTAATATGTCTGATTCACACAAGGTAAGCGGAATAATAACACAAAGAGGATTTAAAAGATTATCCCCTAGACTGATTCAGACAGTTGAAGAAGCAGGTGAAGCAGCTCTCCCACATCCTTGGTTCTGGTTTTTTGTTCTTATTTTTTACTGGCTGTGTTTTTGAAAACAGAGGTTCAGAAGTCTGTGGTGTTTTGAAGCCTCTGTGGGTCTCCTCCTTGGTTGTGACTGTTTAACAAAGGATCTGTAAGGCGGGAGGGTGAAAAAAGTTAGAGGATCTAATAATGCTTTCAGTATGGCCACGAGGACTGTTTCAAGCACCTCCAATTCTTGTCAAGAAATAAAGAAAGCCAAAAATCTGCTCCAAAAAAGTGACTGCAAAGCCGCAGCATTCACAGTGCTTTTTCATCTTGCTATGATCCTGCGACCAGATGTGCCTCCATCTAATGAGGGGTGGCATCTGACCTGTGGTCAGGAATAAAAGGGCAGTCTGCTCTATTTTTAAAAAGGGAGTTTTAACCAGGTGCTGTGGCCATGCCTGAAGCACAATGCTGCAGAATCAACACAAATATCAGCAGCAGCACTGCTGTTTCTTAGAAGTGTGTAGAAGACATGTTATGATTAACACATAACAATATGCAAGTTTGCATATTGCAAGTTTGCATATTGTCTTCATAAACGGGCTGAAAGACAGAGACAAAGAGAGTTTAAAAACGCCAAAGTGAAGCTCTTAGGCTTTAAGTCAGCCAGGTCTCCATAGCAACTAGTAGACTAGGGACATCTGATACTGAAAGAGAAATAAATAAAATTGGTGTTTTTGCCTTTGAGGGATGTTAGCGGCTGTGAACAGACGGGCACTTGTAAGATTAAGCAGTGATTAAATAAATGAGAAGCGGGTTCAATCAGAGAATGGACCCCCTCCTCTCTAAGCTTGTCTAAATCCTCCTCTGATAAAGTTCCCGAGACAGAGACGTGATACCTGACTGGAGCTTGATGGAAAAGAGGAGATCGGCGGGACGTCCAAAATCTTCAGCTCGTACATGTTCCCGTTCAGTATGACGGAGGGTCTGTACACATATCTGGTCCTGGTCGGCGTGTACACCTCCGAGAAGTCGTTATAGATGAACTGGCGGATTATAGAAGTTTTCCCCACTCCGGGAGCACCGATCACTGCGATACTCAGCGTCTCCACCATTCCTGGAGCCCGAGTTCAGCACCATGGACAGCGGCGACAACAACGGCAGATGTGGTAGTCCAGAAACACAGCTGGCCGCCGCTTTTTAAAAAATAAATCTTTATTTTGTCTTTTTTCTTTTCTTTTTTTTTTCTTGCTGTTTCTCTGGTGGAATTCAACCCACCCGCCGCCGCTGCCCCTTTAACCAGCACCCACTAAATCACCTTAACTGGCTTCAGCTGCGTTCAATAGAAGAGTCGGTGGGAGAATAGAGCACCCACCCGTCGAGCAGAGCGGGGAAACTTTTATCTCCAAGACACGCAGATAGTCAAAAATACAGCTCAGCCACCAATAGATGGGCTCTTCGCCGCCTCTGTGAGCCAACGCAAGGAGAGAAACTCTTGGTTTTCAGGGGACACCCCAGGCAACCTCGTCCCCGGAGAGGAAGCATAAAAGTCCGCCCTTGCCGCCTCCACATGGACATAATCCTGCCAAGGCTGGGCTCCGATGACCTTGTCCAAACGCACAGCTCTCAGTGTCTTCGTTGATTATCTCCTCCGCACCTCTCACTCATCCCCAGCGATGCACCACCGCGCTCCTCCATCACAATGAGGACGGGCGCGCAGCCGCTCGTCTCATAAGCTTTCCACGTGTTCCCGCATAATACGCGATCCCCATAATCTTCTGGTTTTCGATAACACAACGATCGATTTAAGACAGGAGAGGCAACTCGCACAGAAAACAGCGGCGCGTATTCTGTAAAGGCATCTGGAGTCTTAAGGAGCGCTGCGTGTCTGCCGTTGGAAAGACAGGAGCTCTCCACCTCCTCCCCTCTCTCCCCCCCTCATCATCATTTGCAATATCCACTGCCCCGCTCGTCCAATAGGATCACGTAGTGCACAAGGCGTGCGAAAGCTTTGAGCTCCCATACGCCGCAAACAAATAGCTGTGGAAGAGGCCACACACTATACATCATCTCCGCGCCAGGGTCACGGAGAGGCGGCGCAGGACTGAACATCATACCTGTGAGGTGACTTATGACCGGACAGGGTCCCGGGGCACGCGAGGGGGGGTGTGTTCGAATCAATCACGGCTGACCGCGGAGCACCACAGACAAAGCTGAGCAATAAACGCAATTCAGTTTATGGTTCCTCAGAATAACTGAGATGAGCTCCAGAGAAGTGTGAGACTGTTCTGTGAAAGGTTTGCATGCTTTATGTCTGTGAAGGTTCTCACTCATCCAGGTCATCGTAGTCTAAGGAGCTTGGAAAGAAAAGCGTCTGGACTTCTTTGAGTTGCTTGAAGACGTTTCACCTCTGCACCTCAAGTTTGCATGTTTTAGTTCACACCTCTGCAGATTAGTTCTTATTATTAACAAGTACAGCGTTTTAGATCCAGTTTTCCAAACCTAATGTTGGTGGGGTTTTTTTTTTTTTGTTTTTTTTACTTACACATGTCTGAATACAAATCAGTTGGAGCAAAATTTCTAGGGTTTTACTGGTGAAATGTGTAAAGGTACTAATAAGACAGACATATGGAAAATAGGCGAAGGCTCTTGAGGAAATGGGAGTAGTTAAAAAGAAATATCAAAAGTTAAAAGAACAGAAGCTTTTTCTGCATACTCACTGGTAATGCCCCCGATGGTGAGAGTTTTAGTGGAAATTTGGAAAGGGTATTTACAAAAAGGACCTTTAAAAATAACAAAGCAAGTGTCACATGCTGAAGTTGGTTAAATATCAGCCAAGGAGATGTTTGACAACTCGGCAGCCTAAAATATGTAGAAAGCATTTGAGTTACTTTAATGAACATAAAATAAAAGCTTTATTGGTCCTGAAAGCTGGAAATTGACCGTGTTACAGCAGCTAAAATATGAAAAACAACTTGGCTGAATAAAATAAATATATCACAGAACAAATGTCTTAAAAAAGGACACTAGGGAAGAACGTTATTTAAACAGAATATTTCAAAGAAAAAGCTCAATAAATCCACATTTAACTGTGTTACAAGAAGGAGATTAAAGCTAAAATAAATGACAGTATGTTGTTACGGTGGTAAAGATATTTTTGTCTTTCCAAACATGTTTTATCAGAAAATCGATGATCAAACATCACAAATGAGGACTATAGACGTGCTGCCACCGAGTGATAAATGCCAAATCTGGAAAATGTCAAGATAAAGAGTAAGCCGAATGTATGAGATTACTCTCAGAACACATAAGAGCCGATGATGGGTGGCTGTAGATCAGGAGGTGGAGCAGGTCGCTGGCTACTCCATACCAAATATCCTTGGAAGGATACCAACCAAAGTTGCTGTCTGCTGTATGACTGTGTATGAATGCTAGATAGAAAGGACTTATATGGATGGGTGAGAATGAGATAAGTTGTATGAAGCACTGAGTGCTCAGAGTAGAAAAGCGCTACATAAGAACCAGCTGCCACATTGTTGAGCTCAGCTACATTTTGGAAAATGTGGAAAGTTCTAAAAAGCAGGACATACATTTTATACCTTTAACGGTCTCTTCATCAGTTTCAATCTTCTTACTGACAGATGTAACCCCATATGCCAGAGTAGTAGATAAACCATTAAGTGAATGGAGGTTGTTGGTGTTAGTATTTAATAACAGAAATGTTCCTTTTCCACCGTCTTTAACACCATTTTCTGGTGGTGACAGTTGTTTTGTTTTTTTAACTTTAGGATAAAGACCTCTATTTCTTACAGTGTAATCCCAGTCAGTCCATACTTGCAAGTTGCTTTGATTTTCCACAGCAAGATTTCTTTATAACATTGAAAAAAATAAATAAAGACCTGCTGCTTTAATTGCACTTCTTTATCTCTTAAGAGAGCTCAGAAATTAAACATGTATTTAAACTTTTTTTTACAATCAAACTAAGGTGAACAGTTTAGAGCAAATAGCTTCACTGAAACTGAGTCCACGACATTAAAATGAGTGTGACACTCCTGGACTGACCATAAATAGTGGAAGTGATCTGGATACATTTAAAAGAAAAAAGAAGAAGAAAAGAACTGAGTTTAAAAGAAGGGATTTCTCCTCCCAACACTTCAGAAAATCTATTTAAGAGATAAAATACTGTGATTACTTCCCTGCTAGTAACACAAATTACATTTGTGATTTGGTAGTTAATGACTGTGCTCTCATAGAGAGGAGACGTTTACTAAAAGACAGTAAAGTAACAGGATCAATATTATGGATCATTCATTACAGCAGCAGAAGAAAGTCTGACACTGTTCACAGCTTCACTTTGCTCTGGTTAGTGATTTCTGTTGACCTTATGATTCACGCAATCAGAGATCCGAGCTGAGAAGTGCTTGTGACCACAATTGGATCATGCAGAGGAAATCTTGGTTAAGCTTTCCAAAGCAGGTTGGACTTTCAGGAAAAGGAGGGTGCACTCTGACGGATAAACCTCAGATTTCACTGCTGGAATGAGGCTGAGCACAACTGAGTCTGTTGACTTCTGTGTGCAAAGCTGCGGACACCGTTCGGTCAACAACACCAGAGCAGAGCTGTGGCGCCCAGAGAGAAAAGCGCTGAATGCCGCAAAGGTCATCAACGATTATGGCGTGTGTGTGAAAACGGTGCACATCGATCTCCAGGCCCCCCCCGGGGGGGCGCGCAAATAAAACTGAGATAATGTTTCACATCCTTTAACACTGGGACTTCAGCATCAACAGGAAAGGGAATAAAAAAATCTGCATTTTTAAAACGGAATCTGTGACAATATACAACTACTTAAAAAAACTAAAAAAACCAACCACACACACGTGAATTAATCAAGACTTTTAATGGTTCTTCAAATGATGTACACACAATGAAAAAACAAACATCTGATTAAACATTGATTTTTTTGTACAGCATGTCATAAGTATCAGCTGCATCACACACAAAGACACACACTCAGAATACACAGCCTCCGTGCTGATCCTGTAGAGCCGGTACAGTCTGTAACAGCTCGCTAAAAGGAATCCAATTAATCAGCGGAGCCTGCAGCTCAAACAGAGACGCCGCATGTTGATCCAGCTTTGTTTTAGCGAACGCTGCCTGCTACCTACATGTGCGCTTGTGACTCAGAAGTGTTACAAACTATGGCATCAGCTGTTTTGCTTTATTTTCCACCTGAGCCTTCATGTCAGGTAAGGCGTGGACCTCGAGAGAGCTGCAGCGTGGATACACGGAGAGCAAAGTGGCAGAGAGCCCGGGGTGGCCGGCGCTGCTGACGCAGAGAGCGCCGACACTTATAAAACTCTCGCCACCTGAGCCTCTCTCCCAGTTTGCAGCATGTGCGCTAAACAAGACTACGAACAAAAATTTAACCATGGAATGACCGAGTAAGAGAGTAGTCCGAGGACAACTGCTGCTAGTCTATAAAATGTTGCGATGTTGATGAAAAATTAAACACGCAGTAACACACAGTTTCCATGCACACGGAAACACACATTCTGCTTTCGGGGACAGACGACGAGCCCCCTGATAACCAGACACTAAAAGAAAACTATAAAAGACAAAAACAATAGTGTAATGGGTTTTTTTTAGATGTAATTATGTGGCTCTATTAAGATCCAGAGAGAAGCTAAAATACAGTCAAAGCCTCTCCTGTCTGACATCTTAATTGAAATTAACCCCTAAATAAATATGGTGAAAGTGATGATTCACCTGCTGATCACAGGTGCTAAAAATAGACTCCAATATATATATATGAGCGAGAGAGAGAGCGAGAGAAAAAAAGCAGGGCTTGAAAATGATAAAGGAGCCTCATGCAGAGAAACATTCACGGCCGTCTGCCCCCCACCCCTAAAAACGAATAAAGATTGTTTAAGGATGGCTCGGACAGGGGAGAACAGGGGATGTGGGATGATTTCCTGAAACCGAAGCATGTGGTGTGAACAAAGATGGGGACAGGATAAGGGCAGCCAAGAGAGTGAACCACATCTCTCTGCAGCATTGGAGGGGAAAAAAGGAAGAAAGCAAGCAAGAAAGGAAGGGCCGATAGACCCATTAACCATCCTGATGAAATGGTTGGGTAACATGAGGACCGCAGTGTCCCGACCGAACGCAGCGGGAAGCGGCTCCCGGCACTGCGTGAGGCTGTGATGTGGTTCGTGGGTCAGGCGAGAGAGAATGAGAGAGAGATGGTAGTCTGCAAGGGCTGCGGCTGGGTGGATGCACGGGCTTGTTTGTTCAGTTCTTCAGCACCGCCTCGTAGCTCTGGAACACCCACTGGGAAACCTCTGCAGCTCTGCACTTCAGAGAGACCTGAGGGAGACAAGTTAGGGTGAGCATGATTTGATTTATAAAGCAGTCTGTTGGCAGGCAGTGCTTTGACTGACGCATGAACAAAAAGCAGGTTTTTAAAGGCCTGCTGCGGGTTATATAAAGCACCTCAGAAAAGGCGATAACTTATTGTTTGATCTTAAATCTTTGCTGTTCAGCTGATATCTTCATCGGGCAACTTCACATAACATTTCTCCAGATTCCTGGATTTATGGTGAATAAATGACCTCATCTTTTATACTTATAGAAGATTAAATTCCTAATTTTCCACCTTATAGCTGGAATAGTCTGAAGGTCACATGGCGAGCACGCCTACGATAAGCGCCGACCCCAGGTGACTCTAGTTTCCAGCGACAAATACAAAACGGCACTCGAAGATAAGTAATTAAATCCTGGAGTGTCGTGTCCAGATTAGTCCTGCATTTTAACATTTTGCTTTTAAATCTGTACCTGAATACGAGTAATGGATCTGTGTGCTTTATTCTAAAAGGACAGGATGACCCGAGCTTCTAACATTTTATCATTTCACCGTTGTTTTTTCTTCAGTGCACCAACACTACACAGCAAACACTTTGACACTTGGCACCATTATTATAATTAAAACGATCAGTAATGAATTTGATGAGTGACTGATGGGAATTTCACACCAGGCCCCTTCTATGACTCTGAATATTAATATCAAAGGCAGGTGATGGAGTGTGGAATGCTTGCTGCAGTCAGCTGAAGCAGTAACAGTGCACAGCTCCTTCAGTGCTGCACTGGTACACTCAAGGCTCTTTATTAATGCATGCTGCTGCTGGCAACATTTAGACGCTCCTATCAGGAAGATGTGAAGAAACGCAGAAGCT